CACGAGACGCACAGATAAACTTGGGTTTGTTCCCTCCGTGTGCCACGGCATTGCTCCCCCAGGGCACAGCGCCTACCTAGCACGCCAAATGCCGATTAACATCCCGGGGGCAGAACCTGGCCCTTCCCGAGCCACCCCGGGCAGTTCCCGCTTCCAAATCGATCAAGCTGTACGCAGAGGAGATGCTTGCAAGCAGTCAGCAGAAGTTGTTGCTGGTCCTCACCCAACCCTGCTGAAGATGCCACTGCAAGGGCCTCAGGCAAAAGAGATGCCTGCCGCAATACAGAAGGACCAAGCATCCTGTTCAAGACACCCAATTCTCCAGCAAGCATTACCCAATACCAACATCCCAATTAGTTTAAAAAAATAAATAAATAAATAAAACACTGTCCCTTGCAAGTCTGTGCACCACAGTTTAGGCTACCACTACTGAATGATTTTCCATAAAGGTTCTCGTGTAGAGTGGTAAGGGATAACCACAGTATATGGATCCACAGTTTGTATATACCCCATGGTAACCGCCTGTCTCATCAAAAATGAGATTCATTTCTGCAGAAGAACATCCTTCCCCGGGTCAAGACTCTCTAGATCAAAAAGGTGGGAGGGACCTGTCGCTTTCTTCTGAAAGTCAACAGCAGAGTACAGCTGCAGCTGCCTTGCCAAATTTTTTTTTTTTTTTGAAAAGATAACTGCTGGCTTGCGAACATAAGCATATTGGCTTGTGGCCTCATTTGAGCAGTCATTCATCAGTTGTCACTTCTCCCACTGATCACAACATCAGGGAAGCTTGCGTTGCCACAGAAGTATTCCAGATAAGATGCAACACAGGGATAACAGTTACTGAACTTGTCATAGAGGTACATGAAGGAAACCAGATGATCTGCTCCTAAGATAAACACGTCTTCTATATCGTCTAGGTACAAGGGTTTGACAGTGTGATTACTTAGCAATACTTACCCAAGACAGCGGGCTATCTTTGGGCCTGTAACTATGTCCAAGCGCTGAATACTGAAGGTAGAGCATTGCTGAAGAAAGGAGGCGGGGGGCACGTGGTGATGCACATTTGCACCTTAGCCCACTAATACTCTGCCTTCAAACTGAAGGCAGAACTGGAAGTCGTCCACTTCTGACATTTCTGCTTTGGCATGAACAGCCAATTCCTACACTGATGACCTACTCCAGGTACTCATTAGCACTGGTCGAACAAATGGAAGGGCTGTTTTTGGATCAATTAAAACTATTTACAAGTTTATATTAAATTCATTGTTCTAGGATTTAAAACAAGTTTTAAAAACTTCCAGAGTAGTAAAAGCATTTATATTAACACACTTTTCATAGTAAATTTGTGCATCTTTAATTGTAAGTCAGAAATTAAAAACAAAAAACCAACATATCACACACAAACATGGAGTTTTTTTTCCTGGGGAAAAGTGTGTGTTTCCTGATAGACTTGTGTTTTTCAGTATAACTGGTGACTAAAGAAACCAATTGCTCACCCATAGCTCAAATGCTCAAAATAACACTAAGAAAATACTTTGGCTTTGAAATAGTAATAGTTAAAAAAAAAAAAAAGGCTTTGACTTGGAAGTATTTAATACATTTCTGCAGAAAGAAATTTCTTGGCAGCATCCTCATGCATTTGATAATGCAAAAAACAGACTTCAGATATGAAAAACAAAATAATTGCAATGTTTCTATTCCTGGTCAAATGAGTATATTTTTAAATAAAAAAATAGATGAATACAGTCTCTTGTCAGTCAACGTGTCTCAGGAACACTACCAGTAAGGTGTCTCTGAAAGCAAGGAGTCAGCTTATAGTAACAGAAAGGAAAGCATACGGAAAGAACAAAGAACAGATTCTCAGATTCAAAGTACATTTGCTAACAGTTTTTGTTTGTTTGTTTAGAAACACTATACTGGACAGCCAATTCAATCAATTTTCAATTTTTTGTGCTCATACTCTTTTTTGATAATCTAGATGCGTACATGAAAGAATTTATACAATGTGGTGATCAAAAGGAGCACTGTGACTCTAAAACAAACCATCCGCTTTTAATTAAGATAATTGAAGACTGTAGCCAGTAGACACAAAATGGCTAGAAAATATAGAAAGCTAGAAAAGATATTGTAATCTTGGTAGCCTTATATGGAAGCAGCTACCTGCCAGTGAATGTTGAAATTGCTAAAAACAACTATATAAAACTTCTTTTAGTGCTTAAGCTAAAAATTTCCTGCCCAGTGTCCTGCCCTATCTGCTAGGCACGTTATTGCATCTACAAAGTATTTCACTTTGCTAAAGGCAGTTTTGAAGGCTTATCATTCATTAGTTTATATGCTGAGTTAAACTACAGATTTTGTGCTGGTAAAGTGATTTTTCATGGTTTTTTTTTTTTAAATTCAGGAAGGCACTAATCACTTCAACTATTCTTTTTCTTCCCCCGCCTCTAACTTGTATAATGCTGTATGAAGACTTCTTCTATCAAGAGCAGAGACATCTCCAGACCCACCATCACGTCAAATCAAACCACTAACCCTTCAACCAAAGAAGCAAAACTAGCATTTATGTTTCTCCCTCATTATTTTCTTACATTCTGTTTGCAAGGTGTAGAGAAGATTAGAAAATTAGCCAGGACCATGGCCAATTTTGCAAGATACCATTTACTACTAGATATTCCAATACTTCAATATTCACCAGCAGGTGAAACAGGAGCTCCTGGATGGACTTCTTGGTATTTGTTGCATAGGCTGCACACATAGAAGCAGGAAACCCTACTTTGGGATATGAGAATTTAACTTTGGCTATTCCTATTGTGCAAATCTTGACAGTTCTGCTAAATGTTCAAATAGGTCACAACCGCTGCAACAGCAACATTTTAAAAACACAGAAAAGCACGATATATTACCTAAGGCTTTTCTTTTGGTGCCTCTTCCTTTGAGTAGGATTTAAGGGATATTTTTGTTTTCTTACCAACAAGGGGAAGACGACCAACAACAGTATTCTGCCTTCACTAGTTGTGGAAGAGGATAATTGCAACCCAAAACGGATTTCTGCCAACACATGAAGAGAGGAGAGGCAAACTTAATAGCAAGGTATCAGATAGTGCTGAACCGAAGGGTGCACATGAGATCAAAATTCCCAAGAGGCTCAATAAGATCTCGAAGTGTGTTTCAGGAGCGCCATTCATTTCTTGTAATAGCTATGTCTGCTCACATTTGCCTGAAATGAGGCCTTTACTACTTGCCCTAAGCCAAAGCGTGACTGACTCCACTAGTTCCTTGTGATATATTTTCCATGTTACTCGCGCCAATGTTTCCCTGGCATAAAATTTTAATGTGCTGAGCAGGGAAATGAATTCCCTTCCCTCCTATGGACAACCTAACAGAGGCTATTTAGCAAGAATGTTAATGACCAAAACTGGAAAAAGGGAGGCACCTATCTGTCTATGACACATCAGAAATGTGGATGAATGGCCAAGCAGTAATTCTCTGAGAAGCTGAGGAGGCTGAGAGAAGTCCTCTAGATCTCAAAATTTAAAGTTTTGTGATATTCTTAATTTTCATTAAAACAACTGAATTCCTCTCCCCCACACCCTCTCAGTGGACCTTAAATTGCCATTAACTGTCCAGTGGCAGGAAAGTTCAGGTGCTTCTACAAGCAGAAGAAACAACTCATGGCTCTAAGGCTCCTAGAAGCCCCTGGAACATCAGCTCTCTAGCAGGCCACCCCAAAAAGAAATGAAGAACAGCTCCGTACCATGGAGGTCTGGCTCAAACCTGGTTGCCAAGACAACAGGAAAAAAACAACACTTAGCAGGGTGCAGGAACTCTGGGTGACAGTCTTCTGCTGCTGCCAGTGATAGCTGTTGTTTTGCTTTACAGCTCCAAAAAAGGATATCTACTGCAGCAGAAACTGAGGACTTGGATTTTTAACTCTGTGTTTACAGGTTTGGGGGTTTTATGCAAGTTTATTTTTGCTTTTCAGGTATCAAGTCCCAAATACAGAAGGTTTAATCTCCCAAATCCACTGCCAGAAATCCCAGAGCTATAGACCACCCACCCCTAGAAGGGAAGATCAAGTAGTCTCATCTAGTTCCACATGGGCAAGTGCATGGACACTTCCTCAAGAGCGATCCTAGCCATACCGATTTCCATAGCATCTAGACTTCATCTGCAAAGTCTGGGAATCCTGCTCAGTTATCTCTCCCTTAGTGAAAAGGTCATGCACACCAACAGCTTTTGATTAGAAAAGCATATCCAAACAAACCCTAGAAGCATAGTAGCTGACAGCATCCCTGGCCCATTTAATTAGTGGCTGCATATTAGCATGCAGAACTACAAAGGAAGGGGATTTGGCAGGAATACCTCCTTCAGACCACTCTTTCGATGCTCAGTTCTTGATAATATTTCTAGAAACACACTGCAGTAATTGCTTACTTAGCTGGCAAGTTTATTAAGAGGGGGAAGCAAGATGCTCATTTGGCCATGTACTGCTATGGTTAAACTGTGTCAGGTCCCCAACTGTGGTCTTAGAAGCTTGGCAGATCACGCCAGCCACTGAAGTATCCAAGCAGCCTAACTCTGAGCATGTAAATTCAGCAGCTAGTCTCAGATTAACTAGTCAATGGAGCGAGAGGAACACTTCCAGAGAGTACTTTGGGACAGTAATTTGGGGCCTATTCCCACTGTGAGATAGGAAGTACCCATCTCTCACCATTGACTATATAAAATGAACAGCTTCACGTATTTCTAAATTAAATACTTGAAGTTAGGCAGCGTGAATACTTTCCTATGGCGTCAGCTCCTCACCTTTGCATCCAACTGCTTCTAAAGGTCTCCAGGCTCTTCAACATTAAGAAAAACTTAGAAGCTTGTAGAAATAACTGGAAAGAAAGTGGGATACATCAGCCTAGCTGCCCCAGGAGGAGTGACTGCTGTATCAGAGAGCAAAAGAACGTGACCAGACAACAGAAAGTGGCAGTGTAAGAGGGCGTGCTTCTTACCTGCCAAAACCCTGACTTCTGCGTCATTTCCGATTCTTGAACTCGCTGGATTTTTTGCCAGGCATCTATAGATTCCACTGTCCCCCGGCTGAATTCTGCTAATCTGTAAAGCTCCAGAGGGCAGGACAGCAACCCGTGCGTCAGCTGGGCTCAGGAACAAGTCCTCCTCGTTTCTCTGCCAGTGTACCATGGGCATGGGCTCTCCAACAACTTCACACTTCAATAAAACCGTGTCTCCTGCAAAAGCCGTGACAGATTCCGTCTGGGAAAGAAACCTCAGCGGTCCTGAAAGCACAAGGAAAAGGAACAATTACACAGCTGCTGAAAATAGAAGTTGCATGCTGTTTCCATGCTGATTTGGATTTGGTTAACAATCCAAACTTAAACGTGATATTCTGAAAACTACTTTGAGATTGCAATAATGGCTAGGTGACTAACACGTTCCTCTGCAAATTACGCTCATTAACAGGAAAGAAAAGATAACAAAAGATGTGTTATCAACATAAAAAGCAACAAATTGCAACCTGATACTTACAGATCTATTCAACAACTTTCACAAAGTACAAATATGCTGGAATGCAATATAAACTATGCAGAGCAGGATGACATTCAAAGGACAGCATAACTAACCTTATGTAAGATTAAGAAAGTGTTAGTCACATCTTTCTGTTTAATGGAATCTTTTTGCTAAACTGCACATCAAACTGTTCAAGTGACACATGCTCCAGAAAGATATCGTCCTCTGTACAGAAGAAATAAGTAACCTCACTGGTACAGCATGAGAGATAGGAAAATTTGAGCGTAGCTGGTAGCAGAGCCTAGGAAGGCTACAAGACACTTTGTTAAAGATGATTCTTGCAATTTATCTTTTCCAGATACACAGCTGCGTTGGTTGTGTCTGTTTTTCCCTAATGAGGAAAGCTAAAGTCCTGGGGCGAGACACAAGTATTTCACTTTCCTTTGAAATTTCATTCAAATTTGGCAAGCTTAAAACTAAAATGAGCAAATTGCTACTTGAAACTCTGCAGACGTAAGATGCTGTGGAAAAGCGTAGAAATTTGTCTTCAGTGGACCACAGCTCAATCCCTGCATCATCCACGCTCCTTGCTAGGTTACCAGCTTTCCTTCGCTGTTACCTCCTGTACCGCAGCAGAAGTGCTCCGGCACACAGCGCTGGAGGACTTAAATGCTGACAAGCGGTAGGATATTATTACAAGTGCATATGTACAAGACTATTTCTCCTTCCCTCCAAATAAGAGGGCAAATAGTATTAAAAAGTCTCTGTTTAACAAATAAATAATAAAAATAAAAAAGTTACTTGGGGTCACATAACCAAACACTTCAAACAGGAAGTGGCAGATGTCTGTTTTCCCATGAAACACGCTTATGACTCATAAGTGCAGAACACCTGAGTTAAGTGTTTAATTGCATAACCCCAAAATGCCCCAGGACAGCAAAACCTGAAGGCCAAGTCTTTCACATGCTACAGAAGTAAGAAACTTACAAGAATAGGATATAGCCTGCAAAATTCAAAGTGCAAATCAGAGATGATGTCCAAATCATGGACTTGATGAACGGAAAGGCTTTTTTTTTTTCTTTCCAAATAAGGCAAGAAAACTAGGGAGAGAGGAAGACTTGCAATGAAAGAAAGCGCAACAAATGAGCCCTCCTTCCAGCCAAGCATGAGAAGGCGGAATCAAAAAAGATATGTTGAAGCAACTGCTTGGATCAGGGATGTGGTACAGATAATGGGAACATGTTTTGGTGAACTGCTCTGGCTCCAGTTCTGTTTCTACAGCTAGAAACCTCAGTAGCTGCTAGCCTGGCTGGGCACTCCTTGCCTGTCTGGTGGCACACCACGTTCTCAGGCTGGTGGTTGAAGCCAGAGGAAAGCAGGCACAAATATATCTCGAAACTTTGAAAGAGCAGAAAACTTAAGACAATAGAAACAGCTAAAGAGCATACAGAAAACAAGTGACAGTATAGTATAGCGAGTAAAGGCTTTCAAAAGCATTTGTCAGTAGAGATGCTATTAAGAAATTGAGGAAACAAAGAATAAAAATCCTAATGTCTAGACATTACAATGCCACCCAGACATCCAGCAAAAGCAATTTACAGGGAAACAGTCACATAACAAAAACAGATTTGAGTGGGAGCCTCAGGTTCATTTCCTGCTTAAAGCACCCATTCTCTTTTGTGACTTCAGCCACTCCTCCGTTGCCTCCGTTCTCCTCGAGCCCAATGCTCTTCCCTCGGAGAGCCTGCGAGGATGGGAGGCATCAACGGGGGCGACACGCTCGCAGGAGCTGCGGCGAGCACTATCCGAAGTTCTGTAGCAAGACAGGAACCGGCTCCATGAAAGCTTCCTCATGGCATTTTCATGTGCAAAAACACACCCATCGCTGCCAGGCCCTGGCATTTTGTCACTGCCACGTAACAGTTATGCATATTAGCAAAGTGCTCGGTTCAAGGGAAGAAAAGGCAGCAGGAGCTTGGCTTGGCGACTGGGCAGCTCCTGCTCCCTGCAAGCCTGCACCAAGGCACCTGCCCAGCACGCTCCCCCTTCGAGCCAGGATGCTGCTCCCATATAGGGAGCTCCCTAAGCTATAAAATAAAAGCATCCAACTCTTTCAGCTTCGTAAGTAAAAAAAAATTGAAGATAAAAGCAATGAGGGAAAGCTGTTAAGAACTGCAACTCCATACATTGATGAAAATCCTTCTGGGAGGAAAGACAGCCGAGTCTAACAACACTGCAAGAACTAGGACTAAAAAAGTTAGCACACACATTTTTTTTCCCCTCAGAAATCCATGCAATAATCCCAACAGCTACTTTCTTAGGGAAATAAAATAATGACAGTATTAGTTCTCACACAGACCTATTCCCAGTACAGGACACGTGACATACCATTATTTATTGATCAGGCAACCTCTCATGCCACTGCTAACTTGACCCAGCACATGCTCTTCCCCCTCTTGGTACAATGAATTTGTCAATGCTGTATCCCTGTGCTACCAAACTGTGGCCTTAAAAATCTTTCAAGAGAACACAGAGTTCTTGAGATTTTTCATGTTAATAACTCAATCTGAAAATTCAGCTGCCTTCGTTCACTGAGCTATACAGAGCACAGAGACCATAAAACCTTTTTTCTCTTTAAAACTCAAAAAAACGCGTATAATGAAATTTACAGCTTAGCATTTTAGGATCTTGCCAAAAAAACTTTTGCTTTGTCCCAGAGAAGACAGTAACTAGCTTTTCCCATGGTTATGTTCAAAACTCATTTATCTCTCTGCAGGATCACAATATATGAGATCTTAAAGTCATCACTGTGTCTTTACAGCTCTCCTAGCTTACACTCATTTATTTTAAAGACAGTTTTTGAAGCCACACAGATGGTTGGATCACTGGGAGCCAGCTCAAGGGAATGGGGGCCAGTGAATGAACTCTGAGAAAGTCACTTTTGGAGACAGACCCTAGAATTAAACATCGCACATTCACAGCTGCGCTTGGCTCCACAGTCGAAGGGTTGCAGACGTACCTCACTGCGTTACACCCACCCCTCCTTAAAAAAAAAGGAATTGAAAACAGTACCCAGCTCTGATTTACCATGCAAGCTGGTTGGCAGCCTATCAGGATCCCCATCTTTCCTTACAGAAGGCCCAATTATTAAGCAATTAAAGTTCACTTAATAAAAAGGCTTATCATTTGGGGGACAGACTTCAGGGTCTGGAACACATTTAGCTATTAAATATTCAGCAATTTAGTAGCGCTCAGTACAATCCCCTGGAGAAGAACCGCTTTAAATGCTTTGTTTGTTTCAAATTAAAGTCTGCAAGGTTACTTAACATCAAGACAAGACCTTTTTCACTTTCAATTCACATAATAGCTGAAGGGCAGGAAACCAAAGTAATGCAAAAGCGTGATCTCCTTCTGCTCGGTTCAGAAAATAGGAGAGAAAAGGCACGGGTGAACAAATCTGGAAACACAAATATTTTAGAAACTGCTGCTTAATTCTCTCTCTTCCATGGGCTGCCTTCCAAAAAGTTGCTATACTTTAGTGACTCTATATATTCTTTTCATTTGCTCCAGTCCACAATTCTGGAAGATTTGCGCTGCGGCAGCGAGCAGCAGAACAGGGCCTATACACTTCACCAAATAATCAAAATAATATGGTGCTATGCATTCATTTGTAAAAATATAAGCTAAACAGTTCCCTTTCTTGCTGCAAACCCCATCTTGTTAAACTGGGAGCAGTACGTACCAGTGGAGATGACACCAGTGAAAAGCTGCTGGCCACAGATTTCTACAGAAACTACTCACGGGGGGAAAAAAAAAAGTGAAGTTACCAGTATACATTTAGCAATACTTTATAAAAGGCAGCCAGTCAGGGAATTCCTGCAGTAGAGGACCATGCAGCCACTCTTAGGGCAGTCTGTCAGCCTAATGAGAAAAATTCAAAGGGAAGCTTATTAATATTGATTTTATTGGAATACTAAAAAGATTTTATAAGTCTTTGCAATTTTTACATATAAAATTTAGGCAGTTATAGTTTATATAGATGAAAGTCAGACCAATTCACTATGAAGGGCAATTCACTGCTAAGCGAAGGAGAGGAAAGTGCCTGCAGAAGACCGAAACCTGCCCCGGTGTTTCAAGAGCAGAGGTGGCCAGAAGGAAGGCTACACGTGAAATAATTATAGGCCTACTTGCTACGACATGCTCCCGACAGAGAGAAATTTTAACCACTCCTCAAACTTGCTCTGTAATACTGGAAATACTTCATCCTGCCAAGATCCTAGTATCTCATACACTACTTATCAACTGCCAGCTGGGGCAGCACTCAAAGTCTGCTGGAGGAACGATGTAAAACCTTCATGTGGAGACAATAACCTGGTCTCCAGTCCCAGGCCCCAGCTGCGCTCCCTCCTCCCTTACATCCACTTTTTTCCTCAGCCATTGGCACAGCAGACAGCATAGCACACGTAGTATTTTCATATTAGCACTGAGTTTTCACCAAGTTCACATACCTAAACCAAAAACACATAAACCTGGTTAATCTGCGTGCATTTGCCGTTACCGCCCAACTCCAGCTGCCCATCTCCCAAGGGTGTCCTACAGAGCCCGTGCAGAGGGAGCAGCGTCCCGTCCTCCAGAGGGGCAGCGGTCACCTGGCCGGGAACCCATGGGGATTAGCTAAGTTAGGTGACTACCCACCGATCAATCCCATCTGGGCATTCACACAACCAGTGAAGAACTCGAGACCCCTGAAACTGAGGCAGGATCATTT